ATTACGTTACTTGTTGTTTTATTTTCCTACTAATTTCTGCTCCCTTTCCAGGAGCAAACAAACCCCTCAGGACTGGTAAGAGTGCAACATATAAACTCAGAAAAATCTCAGCCAAAAAAGCCTTCTAAAAGGAGCTTTTGAAAACCCAATAAAAACCAATACAGTCATCCCTCTTTATTCTCAGATTCTGCACCCACAGATTCCACCATCCATGGCTTGAAAATATTCAAAATGCAAAATTCCAAATAGAAAACCTTGATTTTACCATATATATTTTTTAAAAAAATAAGGGACACCATTTTACTACAAAATTGTATATAATGGGATTTGAGCATCCACGGATTTTGGTATCCACAGGGAGTCCTGGAACAAAACCCCAGCAGATATGGGGGCCCATGATGATGATGATGATGATGATGATGATACCCAATTGTATATAATGGGACTAGACAAGATCCTAAAGGGCAAAGATATAGTTCTGAACACTAAAGTGAGATTTGCTGAAGCCATTGCATTCCCCATCACCACGTACGGATGTGAGAACCGGACACTGAAGAAAGTGGATAAGAAGAGAATCAATTCGGTTGAGATAATGTGGGGCTGGAGAAGAGGCTGAGGATACTGTGAATGGACGAGAAGACAAACAAATGGGTCCTTGAACAGATCAAACCTCTCTGGAAGCCAAGGTGACTAAATTGAGGCTGTCCTCCTTTGGCCACGTCATGAGAAGGCAAGGCACTTTGGAAAAGACAATAACGCGAGGAAAAGTAGAAGGCAGTAAGAAAGAGAGGAAGACCAGATGCCAGATGGATGGACTCTTATCAGGGAGGTCAGAGAAATGAATTTGCAGGACCTGAGCAGAGCCACGGAGGACGGTGTCTGTGTGTGTTATGGAGATGTCTCATCCATAGGGTTGCCATGAGTTGAAGTCAAGTCGAAGGCAATCAACAGCAACAACAGGGAAATAGTGCGGAGGATCCCATGGAAGGCCAAGAAGGCAAACAAATGGGCCAAGTCTAAACTCTCCCTGATTAAACTGAGGCTGTCATACTTCAGACGCATCACGAGAAAGCAAGACTCATTGGGAAAGACATTGATGCTAAGAAAGGTGGAGGGAAGTAGAAGGACCTCATGCCAGATGGATGGACTCAATTAAGGAGGTCACAAGTATGGATTTGCAGGACCTGAGAAGAGCAATGGAAGACAGGGAGTCTTGGAGTTCTCTCATCCAGATATAGCAACAACAAGCAAGAGCAAGTACATTTCTATTCCGCTTATCAGTGCACTTAAGCACTCCCTAAATAGTTTACAATCTGTAAGCCAACTGCCTCCAACCAATTGGATACTCGTTTTATCGACCTACGGAGGGATGCAAGGCTGAGTCCACCCTGGAGCCCCCGGCTGGGATTGAACTCACAACCTTGTGGCTGTGAATGGCTGCAGCACTGGCATTTAACCCCTGCGCAACCAGGGCTCCTTCTCTATAGCGGCATAGCAATAATAGCAATAGCAATTACATTTCTATACTGCTTAGCATGAACCCACCACTCTCTAAGCGGTTTACAATCTGTAAGCCAATTGCCCCCAACAAGCGGGGAACTCATTTTAGCAACCTGCGAAGGATGGAAGGCTGAGTGGACCTTGGAGCCCTGCGGGGATCGAACTCACAACCTTGTGGCTGCATTACTGGCATTTAACCACTGTGCCACCAGGGTTTTGCCGTGAATCGGGGCCAACTTTAGGGTAGTCAACAACAACAACAGAAGCAGCAGTTGTCAAATTGACTTTGACTGATGGCGATGCCATGAGTGAGAGTCCTCCAAAGTCCCCTTGCCCTCAGCCAGGTCTTTCGGATTTAGGGATGTGGCTCTGATTGGGTCCATCCGTCTGGAATGGGGTCTTCCTCTTTCCCTCCTGCCTTAAATCTTTCCTAGAGAGCCACTTCTTCTTATGAAACGCCCAAAGCACAACAGCCTCCGTTTAGCCGTCTTGGCTTCTAGGGAGAATTTGGATTTGATAAAAGCCCCATTTATTTTTGTCTATTTTTTAGCAGTCCATCCGCAGAACTCTCCTCCATTGCCGCATTTCCAAGGAGTCGCTTTTCTTCCGATCTGCTGTCTTCACCATCCAGCCTTCACAGCCATACGTAGAAACGGGAGATGCAATGGCCCTTGTTTCCCTTTCCAAAAAAGAGAGCAATTCTTGCCATGCTTTGCCCCCCTTGGATGAATCCTCCTCCGAGGCCCGGGGGTCCCATTGGAATTGGGAAGGGGTCCCACATGGGGCCACGCTTTCACGAAACGGCGAGCGGCCCTTCTCTCCGAATGCAGCCTCCCCGTCTTTTTTAATCGAAGCCTTTCCCAAGATGGAACCAATTATCGCCATCTGCCGTTCCATACTTATATTTCCTCTCTCGCAGCTCATTCTTCAAAAACTCGGTAGCTTCCTCCCTTTACATTTGTAAATACTGTTGACTGTGGATAAAATCCATGTTTACTTTGTATTCGGGGCCTGTTTTAATCGGCAACAGATGTTCCGCTCCGCTCTGCTTTGCTTGGCGCTCCACCTCAAGGGGGAAAGCAAAGAAAAATCTTTATTTTAAATTTAAATTGTAGATTGTTGTAGACTAAATAAAATGCCAAATTGTTATTGGAAACAACACGGCCGCTGCAATAACTGGAGCTGACATTTGCTTTTCATACAATTATAATTTTGTTTTCTGGCATTGTTTTAAGGCAAGATGGTTTCCACATTGGGGGAGCCCCCTCCGCCTTCCTCCAAAACGATTTGCAACGAGGCCGCAGACTTTTGAAATTTATTTTTATTTAATACTTTGCTATGAGTTTATGAAATACTGGGATTATTATGCGATATACAGTAGATAGGTTTCTCAATGCATACCATCCCCCTGGATTCATATTTCAATAGACATTATCCTCTTGAACCCATTTGGTAAATGCCCTTTATTCCGACAGGCCTCTCCATAAATATGCAACGTCTCCATGGACTGGTTTGGCTGCACAGCCCTTTCTTTATCTCTGGTTTCTTTCATATTTATGGTCACCTTTGATGTCCAAAACGCACGACACCCTCTTCCTCCCGCTTTGATTTATCCCTCGCCGGAGCTTCCAGCCGCGGCAAGACAGCGCAGACCCGGATCTTTGCCTGCGTCCCAGAATCCCCCCAAAATGGATACCTCAACGGAGCAGATTTGGAGACCTTCGCTCTCCACGGAGGAGGAGGAGGAGGATTCACACCCCACCTTCCCCCCAAAATTAGCACTGAAGGTGGCTTGCAATTTAAAGCAAGCATAACATATAGCTTTGAACTACCAGTCTATCTATCTATCTATCTATCTATTTTTAAAAGAGAGTTGGCATGGGGGGAAGTAACCTTAAAAATTATAGCAGAATATAAACCAGGTTGGGAAGAAGCGCCGCCGTGATATTCGACATCCCATGCTGGTCTGAATTAACAGCTCATTAAGCAAAACTCTTTGCAAGCCCAGCTCTGGAAGGAAAACCCCGCCGATTGTCATATTTAATTTCCAGTCTGTGGCTAAATCTCAAGAGATGTCAAGCGGCCGGGCTTTTAGGGCGCACCAAGCAAACAGGTGCCTCTTGGCCTCCTGACCACACGGCCGCCGTTTTTGGGAAGCCTCTCTTTCTGGACCGAGCTCTTGCTACGAAGAATACCTGCTTCATAAAAGGCGGAAACATTTATCACAAATGCCTTGTTAATCCCAGGAGGAACCGAGCCTCCAGATATCTTGTAAATCATAGAGAAGCTGAACATATCCCGGGACAGGTTTGCAAATCTGTTTGTGGTTTCCAGTTCATTTTCGAACATTATATCTGGTCAAGCCACAAACAGCGAAAAAAGGGAAAAGGCAGAGAAGGGTCCTTTGGCGTTCCTGCGCCAAAGGTTTATTGAAACGTTGCTAGCGGGATGGATTTTCATTCCAGACAAATCTTAGTTTCTGAAAGTCAATTGACATCCTAACTTCTTTTTAAAAAATAAAATTCTCCTTATTGTTTGGGACGAAGCCAGCAGGACTTTGAATCGGACCGGCGCTTCCTTCCGGCCTCCTTTTTTGGGTTGGCTTTGGCATGGAGGGGCCTCGCAGATGCTCTTGTTTTGGGCTTTTTCAATACTCTGGAATTTTTCAATATCTTCAAGAATGTCCAAGGCTTTGGAATTTGCCCCCGGAGGAAGGGATTTAGCCGCTTTCCTCCCAATTCTCAACAGTTGCGCCGGCTGGCATCTGCAAAACTGTGATGACTTTGGGAGATGAAGAGAGAGGATGCCAATGCCATCCAAGGGGCAAAGGCCGAAAAGGACAGGACCAGGGCCACAAAAACCGAAAAGGACAGGACCAGGGCCGCCAGAGGAGGAAGGAGGAAGGGAAAGAAAGCCACCTTGGCCTGTGGGTTGCACCCACACCTTGGGGCATTTGTTGTTGTTGTTGTCGTTGTTGTGTGCCTTCAAGTCGTTTCCAGCCTATGATGACCCTAATGAAAGAAAAAAGTTGGTAGCATGAGCTTTCATAGGCTCAAGTCTACTTCCACAGATGCATTTGGAAATTGGTAAGAAGTTGGCAGCATGAGCTTTCATAGGCTCAAGTCCAGTTCCTGAGATGCATCCACCAAATGCACCTGAGGAAGTAGACTTAAGTCTAGGAAAGTGCATGCTGCCAATTAATTACACTCAAGTATAGGAAAGCTCATGCTGCCAACGTCTTTCTTTCACTTAGTCTCAAAGGTGGTGCAAGATCTCTCTACATACTGGGTGACCTTGGGCAAGTCACACTCTCTCACCCTCAGAGGATGGCAATGCCAGACCCCCTCTGGAGAAACTTGTCAAGAAAACCCCATGACCTTAGGGTCGCCATAGGTCAGAAACGACTGGAAGGCACGCAACAACATACTCTACATACTGATTCCACAGACTAACATGGCTATATCTTTGAATTCTAGCAAGGTCACCCAGTGGGTTTACATGGCCAACCCAGGATTCGAACCCTGGTCTCCAGAGTCCTAGTCCAATGCTCAGACCACTACACCATGCTGGGTCTCATTGGCATATTCCTCAACATTTCACAGATGAGAACCAGGACACAGATCAGAGCATGGTCAAGATGGCAGACGTTATTAATGAGGAAGAACACACAAGCTAGGAAATTGTGCAGCAGTTAGCTTTTGCCTAATCCAACTGGGAAAGGCAAGATTCTGCCTTCTCCTCTCCCCCTGATAATTTAATGGAGTGCAAACTACTTTTGCACCTTGAATTTGGTTTGCAGCAATTGAAGTAATTTGAGGGGGAAAGTGGGAGAAGGAGAAAGGAACTGGGACATTATAAAAGCAGCTGGAAAAGTGGGAAGAAAGAGGATTAATCAGGATCATCCCTGACCAATTGCACAGATGTGGTGATGCTGCAAAGAAGGCCCTGCCTCCAATAACTGAAATAGATCCAGCATTTCAAAATCCTCTGCCTAGAAAGAAGCACCTTGTCCAAATAATTCAGATCCCTTTTTTGGGGAGTCCATTTTTACAAATGGATTCCTTCAGCATTTCTCCTTCCTAACAGCCTTCTATGCCAAATAAAAGAGGCGGCACCTCTGAGTCTTCATGGCCACCTCAAGGTTTATTATTTCATTTCCAAGGAATTCATGATAAGCCTGCTATTAATACAACGTAATTGGAAGGAGGGAAGGAAAGCAGCATTTGTTTCTTATTTGTTTTAAAAAATTCTGGCCTGTCAACATCACTTAAAGCATCCCTGCTTCGTGCCTCCGTGTAATAAATTAAATCAGCATTTTAATTGTGCCCAGGCTTTGTGGTTCCTGGCAGTACAATCAGATCTTCTGTGCATGCGCCTTGCAAAAAGTCCTACGGGTGATTAATGGCTCGTCTGGAAGATATAAATATGCCTTCCAGGGAGGACAGTGCGGAGGACTGCCGGAGGACTTTGGCCTTTTCTCCGTCTCCGTAGTAGGACTCCGGGACTTTGCAGACACGGCCCTAATTCAAACAAGAATTGCATCACATCCCAGTCTTTTTGGGAGAGCCCCGGCACAGATAGCAATAGCAATAGCAAGTACATTTCTATACCGCTTATCGCTCCCTAAGCGGTTTACAATCTGTAAGCCAATTGTACCCAAAATTTCCTTTGCACATTTACAACCGGGCAGGGAAAACCGTCACAAATGGACGCAGCAAGCGGGTCAGCCATTGCGTGGCCATAATTGCCCCTTTTTCATCTCCAAACAGTTGGTGTCCCCTTTATCAGTTAAGGCCATTATTATTCACATTGCAGGGACGTTAAAGGGGTCCTAAGAGGGAGAAACATTGCAAAAATGCGTAAGATGCGAGCATAAAACCAAAAGATATTCAGGGTGACCAGATGTCCTAACTGGCAAAATGTAGGATACTCAAGAAAAACATACAGCAGGACCCAATAAAAGCTAAAAACACTGCAATATAATTCATGCTTCTTCATCATGCTGGAAATGGAGGACGTTTTGAAATTCCTCCTGGACAGAAGGATGAAACAGAGAGCCTGTCCTAGAAAAGGAGGACGCCTGGCCACCCTGAGAATATTCTACCTCCCTCTCTTTTTCTTTTCCTTTTTGTTCATGGGTTCTTTCCATTGCAACCGGAGCCATCTGCAACTGCAATTATGAGCAAGACAATTGGGATTTGCAATAAATCTTCCCCAAAGCTGCAAATTGTTCTGGGGCTTAGAAGCAGGGATTATGAATGGCTTGTTTGTTCCTCGGCTGGGATACCTCCAATGCAAGGAGTGTAGTGCTGGGTGGCCTCAAAGTGTCTGGACGCTGGGACGGTCGGCCGGCCGGCCGGCCGGTCAGTCGGTCAAGGGCCCTGCCTGGCGGAGAGGCGCATGTGGCCGGCCACATTGGAAAGGCCAGGGCGCCATTGGCATTCCTTGGCACAAGAGGAGCCACACCTGTCGCCCCTCGTTCCATGCAGACACATCCTCTCAGCCCCAAAATATTTGGGTAGCTTATTATCGCCACTCCTGGCCCACCTGGATTCTCCCTAATGGCGTCCACAAAGACACACACCTTGAAACCGATGCTTGCAACAACAGCCCTTGGGTTCTATGAAGGCACTTCAATTTCATCCCCTAGAGCAGCCGATCCCAAACGTCGGTCCTCCAGATATTTGGGATTTCAGCTCCCCAAATTCCTGACTGTCGGCCAAGTCGGCTGGGGGGCTGGAGGGCTAAAGTTTGGGGACCACTGTCCTCTAGGGATGGGGGCATTGGAGGACGGAGAGAGGAGGCGCAGGAATGGAGGGCCAAGAAGGAGGTCCGGCTCCCAAAGACATTCCCATTCCTTCCCTCCATTGCTCTGGAAGGAAGGGAACATTAATTGGGGGACAGAATTTCTAGCATTGCGGAGAAATCGTGAAAATCATTCCTCTCTAGAACTCTAGAATGTGGGTTGGTTTAATATGTGTATATCTTATCTGTCCTTTTAAACTGATGAGTTTTAAATGATGTTGTTTCTTAATTGTTATTGTCCCCCACCTTGATCCACGGTGGGTAAGAAATTATTATTATTATTATTATTATTATTATTATTATT